TTTCTCCCAACAACCTTCGCACTTTCTCCGTCCATATTATTATTCCCTTCGACATAGAATTCTTCTTCCGTTTGGCTTTCTCACTTGTGCTCATGTCAGATCCTACTCGCATATGCCTGCTCTCTGTTTTGGAACAGATCCTTGCAGTCAAAGGATCCTAAGATAGTGTATCTGTAACCGGCACCACACATCTTTCTAGTGTGTCCACTTGTGTGTCTCCCTTTACACTCCCTCTACAGTAGATTGGATAGTTGATTCCAATCATGTAGACTCAGGCTCTTGTGCGTCCATACATTATTCGCTGATCCCCCCATTCCCACATAACCAAAATTCTGAGACCTCCAATAATGTAATTTGAAGTGATCACACGCAAACTAGGTGTCTGTCTGTTTTATATCTCATTGTATCTTTATTATCCTATCGTCGTCGTACACCTGATTTTTCATGAATACTCAGCAAATATAACCTGAGAGTGAGCTCGCATGTGTGTAGTCCAATGTCCAGAGACTCACCGAATCCTACATACACCAGTTTGTGATCCAACAACTATAATCTATTCCCCTCTCGCCCCCATCTTCTCCCTCCTGTCAGACTAATGAAAAATTACCTGAAATTGTGTGTTCAAACCTATAATATATCAGCGAGAGTCTGTTGATCACGCAACACAGTAATAATATGAGTAGCTATATGCTTGCAACTTGATACAGCTCTATCGCACGACCCTAAGAATGCTCATCACTAAAAACTGAACAGCTCACCCCATACACCATATCGAACACTGCCCCGCTCCTCATCACACCGATGTGTGTTAATAAAGCTCTCTCCCTGTGTAGAATTCGAGAGCAGACGCGCGCCATCCCACACTCCCACGCAACTCAATAGTATCTCTAAACTCATATACACACTAACCAGACTAAAAACTGACTACTATGTTCCCAGTTCAGTGCGCTAACCTAGATCATATTACAACTTCCTGATCCCTATACTAGTCACCGTTCATATACTCTTACATATCTCCGCGAAATCACATTACAGCGAATATCCACATGCTACCCTCTAACATTAAACCAACTCTCACTCCAGTAAGTGTCCTAATAAGAATAACTTACAAATAACAATAATTTATGTAATGATTAAAATATACTCGCATACATCGATAACTTTGAGATATAGAATGAACAATAAATAAGAATTTCTAACACATCTGTCACCGAGTTTGACCGTATAGAATTTTTGCATTACACTGCTCTATGTTGTGCACTCCTGTTCACACTAATAACTGCTCACACTAGTATCCCATCAATAGACTTTCCCATTCCTGTATTTCACCTCTGCATAATTATCCAGACATCGCTATTCTACATGCAAGACACGATGCCCACCTTCTTTAACTCACATAAAGGTAGACATCGCCCATTGCACACTGCTCCAACTGAATAATTAGCTAATCTCGCTACCTAAGATCTAATTAAGAGTGTGCTGCTCTAATGACCTACTCCAACTCTCACGCTATATACTATATCCGTTATATCACTAACGACTATTGGAGTATACACTCCCACCCAATACTAGAGAGAGGAAGTCGAGCCCCGAGCCACCCGTTCTACTCCTATCCACTAAGCGAATCACTAAGTTGACCCTGTTCACCGTACACACTCGTTGACCCTTTTTGTTGCCTGTAACGTTCATAACATAGGTAACTATTCAAATACAATCATTCTAATGTCCTCAACTCTGTATACTAGTGTGTATTTCTCAGTGCAGTAACACATGATGTCTGCCACCTCCATGACATCCATCTATATGAGTTACTAACCGTCAAGTCTGATTACCCCAAACCCCCACCCAAACAAAACCCTAATCAACACACCTTAGTATACCATAACCATATCCTCTTATTATCCTTCAAAACTCATGTGTCCCTCTCCCAATTCGAATGATCATGAATGTGTTGAATGATGATAAGTCTAAGATAATAAATAATCCTCCCGATGTATATCCACTCTAGCGAAAAAGTATATCATTGTACACTATGATCAAACCACCATTAAGATAGACTCTCTCTAGTGTGTCACACCACACACTGTCCTACCGGCAAGTAAAAGACGCTCCCTACTCCTCTCACTGTGTAACATGTACAAAACCACCACTACTCTACGACCTATCCTCATAGACCCATAATACGTGCTCCTAACACGCTGCGTTACCTTGGTGTCTCATGATATCTCACACAACATCACCTCAATGTCAAGAAACACTTGTCCCTTCTTCTGTATCAGAAAATGTGTCTAAAATCTAACTGATCCTGTTTCCCGACACCTCTCCATGCTATCTCACAACCCCAATACCTACTCACCATCCTCCCACATTTTTTAACAAATATTTACCCCATCGCCATGTGTCTTCTCTAATTCTTCGTGTCGTCAACTCCCCCACTGTGTTTGTCCATTCCCTGTGTCCACCATACATTCTCTTTTATCAAACTCCTGTTCCTCATGGTATACACGGTTCATCATCCTAATTAATGTATGTCTCTATCTCCTCCTGATCTCCTATTCATAACAGACTTGTACTCGTGAGCTAATAGAACATATCCCTAATATCACTGCATACCTCATGAATACTGCACCTCCTCCTCCTATGTGTAAACTTGTGACTTCTGTGCCCAACTCAACATAAATCTGCATACAAAAACTTAAATTATAAATAAGACTTCTGCGCCATGTAGTAAGTACATGTACAAGTGTTTGTCCTCCTGAGTTCCCTACACTGTGTGTACCCGTATCTCATCCTCTACATTGCTGAAATACATATTGTACTATTCGTGTGTGTCTGCTCGCTCCCGTATGTCGCCCCTGTCCTCCTCTCTTCACCCCACCGCACACGTTCGTCATCGTCTTTGCGCCCTCCCTCTGTTCTTGTGATGCACTTCAACTCCCGTGACTCACCCAATCTCTCCACATTCTATGAAAGTGCACAGCCACTATCCCAACATCTCAACTGACACTCTATAATCTAGCTCCAGTTTCGCTTGTCTTCATACACTCTTCTTACCTCTCTCTGTATGTGCACCGCTCCCAAACAACCACCACCACCAATATGCGTTCAGTTCTCTCATACAATACTTCCGAAGTGTATCCCATCTGTATAACAACTGTTGCCTGTACTTAATAGCTATGTCTGCTCTATAATAAATAATCTCTCGAGTGGATCCATCCACATACATAAAACGACTTGATCTTACACTATGCAGATACCTCTATATCTTCCTGTCGTGATCCTCTGCAGACACACCGCTGTGTCTCCCAATACATCATAGACCACGCACTCATACAATAATAGCTGCACGTATCGCGCATCAGCTCAGCTACGCTGTCAGCCTAGACCCACACGTCATCTATTATATTCTCCACATCAACTTCATAAAAGAGTACATCCACTCCTCTGCCCCATATCATTAGCATCGTTCTAACCGTTCGTCCTGTGTGCCTAGTGTGTCCTAGTGATCACTTGCGGTAAGACCGCACGGATATCACGCCATAATAACACACCAAAAAATCTAAATAAATAAGACATCCTATCAACTCCGATAAAAGACACTCTACTCCCTAGAGTCTACGCTATACGTGTGTGTGTCGCAATCAGAAATCACACACCCGTGCACCCCCTTGCACACCGCAATCACATAAATCTGTATGATCTATATACTACATCCTACTCTGCATTTACAAATTCTCTCTATCACTAGTATATAAGAGTCAAACTGCTAACATATGAAATGAGACATCTACAGCTACACCGCGTCGCGACTATATCTGTATAGATAGTACTCCAGTTCTAAGATGTATAAAGCAAAGAACGAAGAGTAGAATTCGCTATACTAGACTAGATATTGATCGTCGGTGTCACCCCTATATAATGTCTCAGAAATATACCATTAAAGATCATAATGATCACTACTATGATGTAAATAACCTACTCGCTCCTCCAATATATGGAATCTGCCGTCTCTCACCTGTGCAAAGATCCCAGCCGCCTAATTCCTCTGCCTCGGAGCGTCTAAAACGTTCTAGCATATGAACGTGTTTGAATAGACTGAAAGCTCATAGTGAAGCATACGACCATCAAATCAATCCCTGATGTTGTGAGTACCCTCCCAGTGATCAGCACAGCATTTGTTACCGAGAAGGAATCATAAGATCAAGAAGTACCCTCGATATCTCTAAATATCTATGAAAATTATGTAAGTTTCTCTCTCGATATATAGATACCGACGTTTAAGGTAGATGAGTCGCATTGTGAGACGAGTAGCTCGTGTGACAATTGTGTCGATAATGAGAGAATCACACGCATAATGTGTTAGTGTGTACTGAGATGAGTAGTACAATAGCACTATAAATCAGCGAGTGCTCTCGTGACGAGCTAAGGTTACAATCACATGGACATTCAAAAAACATCGTTGAAGAATATCTTTGATTAGTGTCACTATGTGGGTTAAGCAGGCACTGAAGTTTTTGCGGAATCATATTGCAATACCCTGTGAGTTCGACGCACTTTGATTGTTTCAATCTGAGGTCGTTAGGTGGTAAAGCAAGTGATTAGGCTGCTGTGATAGTTACAGGATTTGTAAAGGTAGAGATACAAGGTTTGAATCTCGGGACTACGCTAGTAGAATTCGGTTCTTGAGTGTATTTCGTGTGTGAGTAGTCGAGAGATCAAAATCGTGAAAGTGTCTACGCGAGGTTAGATAAATTGTATTGGGTCTTGACACGTTAGTGTCGTAATGACACGATGCGATGAGACAAGTGTCGAAATGTGTAGCGAAGTGTGAGGTGAGAAGGTGAGGTAGTAGGTTTGACTGGCGTAATTCGGCACCATTGGTGAGATAGAGATCTTACGCGGTAGAGTTATACGACAATGGAGGGGGACGAGGATATACCTACTGTGCTATACCTACTATTTTATATTTTTTGTTATGTTTTATTATTTATGATTTTTAGGGCATAAATGGAAGTTTTTTTCTGTTCATAAAAGGTGGTGGAGATGCATTTGATGTTACACCCAGTAAGGCGGTAAACGAAGCCACCTTTATGATAAGGGTCAAGAACAGCACAACCCTTGACTTCGAACGAATCAAAAGAATCAACCTCACACTTGTAGCTAAAGAAATCGTTAAAAACAAGCCGAAATATAGCGAAGCATCGGTAATGGTAAATCTCTTGGATAGGAACGATAATTTTCCAGAGTTTTCCAAATCGTTGTATGAAGTTTCGGTGCCAGAAAACTGCGACGTCGGAACAACGGTTGCTTGGGTACAAGCCCTTGATGATGATTCAGGAAAATTTGGAACTAGAGGGATTCGATATACTAACTTAGCAGGAAGTATTGATTATATGTAAGTAAACAGTTTTAAATACCATTTTTGATATTTTCATTCTTATTTTACTGTTTGTATTCATTTTTTACATGCTCCAGATGACAATCGTCAAAGCTTTATCTATTATTGTGAATATTTCCAAGGTTATCGCTGTGTCCAATATTCCATTTGTATTAAAACTAATTTTAATAATTAATGTAGATTGAGGCGTCAATGATTGGGTAAATTTTAGAAAAACTCCTCTCTCCCCAATGGCGCTACAGCTCTAATTAAGATTTGGCCTCCTCCAAGATAGGTAGAGTCATGGTTGTACCTGTCTCATATCGTTTTTCTTCCAGCTTTCTTTTTGTGTCTTCTGTCAACACCCATATCTTGCAGTCATAATATACTATTGGTCTGATAATAGTTTTGTAGACCTGGATTTTTGATATCCGGTGTATGTTTCTGAAGCGAAACAAGTGGGCGAGTAAAAAATAAGCTTTTTTCCCCCTAAGTCTTGCCTGTGTTAGTTTTTTGTCTTTTGAATATTTATTTCTTGTCCGGTCTCTTTTGCCTCTGTTTTTATTTGTGAATTTATTTTTGCCGCCTCTTTTGTTCTTCGAGGGATAATACTGATGTCATCGGCATAGGCGGCAATCTGTATTGATTTACTTGTTAGGAGATTACCTGTTCCTATATTCAGCTATCTTATCATATATTCGAGAGTCAGGTTGAATAGTTGGTGTTAACTTGCCTCCTTGCTTTAACCCTTTGACTATTGGAAAAATCTCAGTGAGCTCATTTTGTACTCAGTTGCTGTAGATGAGTCCATTGTTGCTTTTACTCGCAGGATGTGTTTTTGGAGGATGTTAAAGCTATCATCATCATCAATCAGCCAATCGCGTCCACTGCTGGACATATGCCTCTCTCAGTTTTTTCCAGTGTTCTCTACACTGTGCCGCTTGTAGCCAGATTCCCGCTACACGTTTTATATCATCATCGGTCCATCTAGTCGTGGTCGTCCTCGGGTTCTTTTATAGTTTCTTCGTCTCCATTCCATAATACGTCTGATCCACCGTCCATCTTGTGTTCTGACTAAATGCCCTGCTCAGTTCCACATGTTAAAGTTATACAATATTTGATATAAAATGTGTCTATTGTATGTGTGAAATTGATCATGTCTTGATAGATAAACGGGTTGAAACAAGAAAAACTTCTAGGCAGTACCTTTTCAGTTCCTTTTTATTACTTTATTATCTAAATAAATCTTTACAAAACTTCCAAAAATGGAAAAAGATGTTTAGAATATATTAGTTTCCAGTTTTAACATTAAAATAACTATAAGATATGAAAAAGTTAAATATATTAGTGTTCTTTCCTCAATACTTTACCGGAAAAACTAACTTATATTAATCATATTTACTCAATACTTTTACAGGTTAAACTTACACCCAACGTCTGGAGTGATAACAGTAAAAATAGCCGGAGGGCCTAACTGGGATAGAGAACAAATCTCCAGACATTTTCTAACAGTCGAAGCAAGAGATGATTTGGGTTATGGCAACCGAAATTCAGTCCAACTAGTTATCAACATCGAAGACATTAACGATAACGCTCCCATGTTCGTCCAGAGCAAATATGAAGCCAGGTTGTTCGAGAACAAGTTGGATTTTGAACAACCGTTGAAGGTTGAAGCAAGAGATGCTGATTTAAATGGTAACAAATTTCTTGGTTGTCTTTTTTTGTTTTTCAGTAGGTTAGAATTAATATAAGTACTGAAAGCTACAGTATCACCAATGCGGAAGATATATCTTCTTGGTAAATATAAAAAGCTATCACCAGCCTAAGGGAGCTATTATACGTGACTGTAGTGGCATGCGTCGCATTGAAATCACTTTGTCCGCGTTGTCAGCGCTGTTTATAACTTGATGCGCTTACAAAGCGTGAACTTCGCTGACGCGGTGCTGCTAACCTGACATCATTAGCGCTCTTAAAACAAACGAGTTTCTATCCTTTTCCAAATTATTCATGTTTTAAGTCATAAAAAAATATGTCCTACTCCTGAAAATACATATTCTTCCTTGTTTTTTAGGTACAAAAAACAGCGAAATAGAATACGAACTTCTCGGTGATTTAGCTGAAAATTTTACCATTGATTCTACAGGATTAATTAGCCTTAAATGCCCCATGGACTTTGAGAGTTTACAGAACTCCTTTTCCAGTAGCGTGTACTCAGTATTTTTAACTGTGCGTGCCCGAGATTGGGGAACCCCCAGTTTGTTCAGTGACGTGCCATTATTGATCTACGTAGAAGATGTCAACGATAATACTCCGGTGTTTGAGAACAGTTTTTACAATAAATCAGTCGCAGAAAATTCTCCGAGTGGGACTTCATTGCTTCAGGTAAGTAGGAATAACTAGATCAAACATAACATCACTACAACAATGTAGAAAAGGCTAACATGAAATGAAAAATAGGGAAAGAAAAAACAATAAAAAATTCTAATAAATGTAATAAAAAGTATATGGGTAAAAGAAGAATTGAAAAGAAAAAATAAACAAAAATTGAAAAATAAATCGAGTATGATTTTCAAAAAATCCTTAGTTCAAAGATAAAGAAAAATTTCTCAATACTTTTTTAAGGATAAAATGCATTAAACAACGATCAACAATAATTTCGTGGATGATTTGCTAATCTAAATACACGTTTTAGGTAAAAGCCCATGACTTCGACGGATCTTTCCCAACAACCAAATCGTATACAGAATTCAGCACGGTGCTGCCGATAAGTTTACTATAGAAACCGAAACTGGAATCGTCAGGGTAGCTAGAGGAGCTTCATTGGACCCAGATCTGACCCAACCGAGAAAGATGGTTTACCCTTTAAAAGTTCTTGCTATAGATGGAGCACCAGGGGATGGCCAATTGCAAGCATCGACTGACGTAGTAATTAACATTATAGATGTTAATAATAAGGCACCGGTGTTTGATGACCCAGAAATATAGCTGTATTTGAAAACACACCAGTAAGAAAATAAAGAGAGTATTATATCATCTTGAAATTGATATATTTCTATATTTTTAGGTAGGAAAAATTATTGCTAACCTATCTGCTAATGATCCAGATTCAACAGCAGCGCTGGTCTTCAAAATAGACGACTCTGCCTGCCAAGCAATAAACGAAAGAAGGGTTCTGGTAAAAACACAAGAGTACGACTGTTCTGGAGCCTTTCATCTAGAACCAAGAACAGGAGTATTGTCCATAGCTAAAACATTGGATCGGGAAATTGTTGAGCAATTTCAGTTGGGACTTACTGTAGAAGATATCAATTCAGAAACAGGACAACAAGTGGCACATGGTAAGACTAAAACTAAGATACGTTATAATATAGTATGTATTAATTATTATTAATAAATTTATTTTAGCAAAAATTGTAATCGACATCCTAGATGTGAATGACAATTCACCAAAGTTTAGAAATTCCTTCTACAAATTTAGTATTGCTGAAAACAGTAAGCATGGGACAGCTATTGGAAGTGTTACCGCCGATGATATCGACAAGAATAAGACTATAACTTACTCTTTGGAAGGAGCAATAGAGCTAACAAGTCTTGTTCATTTAAATCAAGATGATGGTAATATTGTAGTGGCTAACAAAATCGATCATGAAATACATCAATGGATTAATCTGACAGTAAGTAAAATATAGTGACCCATTAGTAAGCCCGTACGATACTTGGACCACCTAAATAAGGTACATTGTATTAGCCCTAATGTACGGACTATATCATAGTTATAGTCCAATTACCAGTGCGTTATAATACCCAGCTCAGTCGAGCCTCTATTTATTATCTTTGGTAGAGAGGTATAACCTGCACTAAGATTTGTATCGTCACAGTAAGCTTCCTTAACGGAAGCACTATAAGCTAATTCTGGCTGAATAAATGCCGATTTGTAGACTTTCCAATTATGGCAGGCTAAGGACACAGAATAATAAACAATCAGAATGCCCACTCTCAGATGCCGCCTTTAAAGTTTTTCAGCACGCGCGCCATGTTTTAGAAGGAAACATAACACAGACATATGATTTGTGAGGTTATGTAATTGTTTATATTTATGTTTATTAATGATTATTTGTCTTTATATTTAACAATGTTAATATAATTGTATAGTATGTCTATGATTGCCGTAAGTCAATTAAACCGAGTTAATTTTTCTATGCACACCACATAAACAACACTGGTTCCCTCTAAAACATGGCGGAACGTCTGCGCGAACGATGTGCTCGTGCTTAATTTTCTATGCAGAGTGAGCATTCTGATTGTTTATTATTCTGTGCTAAGGACTTGTGAGGACTTTCCATCATTTTCGTCATATAAGCGACACCTGTTTATTTACTAATCCAAGTAGATGTAAGCACCATTTAAATCTGCTATAATTTGCTCTTAAATACTCTTTGAAGACTGCTATATCTATCCTCTATCAGTCCGAAAGCTACCTAAAATCACTGACATATGGTTGTTCTAGCATCAGTTTCAATGGTTGAAACCGTCAGCGAATAGTGGACAGTCGAGTAGACGGATATGCACGTGACTGTATAATTCTCTCGTGACCATGTTGCTGACGGTTCTGATAGTTGTCTGTTGCTAGAAAACTATTATATACTGTACCATATCAAATTGACCGTAATTATTGACAATATATGATGTATATTGAAATATACGTCATTTTAACTCTCTGGCTGTCAAGAACTAGTTAGGTGCCAACACTGTGCACTGCCAGGTGGTTATTGCTATCAGTAGGTCCCTAACAAAGATGGCTATATCAACAATTTGCGATTAACAAACTAAGGATGCGAAGATTTCCGTCTTAAACTACTGTACATTGGAATCAAAAGCTTTACTTCAAGACAAGAGCATTCTAATAAATAAAAAAGAAACAAAGCAAGATGGACCAAGAATAGCAGATATGTACTCTTCTTCTTCCTCCTCTTCATCTTTATAAGCAATTCAGATTAATACCTCTATGGGAGGTTGTCATTCCTTCTTTTGCGCGGTCGTCCGATATATTTTTTGCCGATTGGTGACTTATCTCTTGCTATTTTGACGCTCCGTTCAGCTCGCGGAGATAAGAATACGGCCGAGGCCAATATATCCCTGCCTGTCGTAAGAGGCGACTAATGGGAAGGAATCGAGAGGTGGAGAGCCGTCGCTTGAGGCGTCGGGTTTGTATAAACGCACTCGGGGTGCTTCGGCGTCACGATCACCGGTCTACACTCCTAGTATCCGAGACCAGACTCTTGTGGGACTACTCTACTCCCATTCCACAGAACCAGGTGAGGTTGAACCAGCTGAGCCCGTAAGCACCTCTTTTGTGTGCACCATCAATAGGGGCACCGGTGTCTCGGCACGTACCAATCTGGGAGATTTAAGAGTGGTAGAGGAGAGTACCTGTCTATGTGCTAGGTCGACTTCCTCTACCTGCGCTCACCTTTCCGCCAGGGAGGGGAATAACGGACGGGTGTTCGTAAAGCAACACAGGTATTGCCGCGATGCTTCGTGCAACGCGCCACACTCATAATGGTGTCGGACTCGTAGGGGTATGTGGTTTCGCTAAAGGCGTATGCCGAAAGTTCAGTGAGATCAGGGTCTGCCAGTGTATTATCATTGGCGGAAAAACTAACTGTTCAATGCTATTTTGACGACAGGGTCTCGTCCATTCTTATTTTGTATCCATTCATTTATAAACTGTACGTTTTCTAATTTCTTCACTTCTCTTTCGACCTCTCAGCGTATTTCCAGTAATTCATCTCAGTACTCTCATCTCTGCCGTTTCCAGTCGCCTTTGAATTGTTGCTGTGTCGGGTCTTGTTTCTGATGCATATGTTATTATTAGTCTTACACTGGCTTTATAAATTTTTGACTTCATCTCAGTAATGTGTCTGTTTCGCCATATAGTGTTATTAAGGCATCCTGCCAGTTCACTTGCTTTTTGTACTTGATCTCTCACTTCTTTGTTCAGGTCTCCATAGCTAGACAGTGTAATTCCGAGGTATTTTATTTTCATTACTTGTTCAATACTGATGCCATAAATTTCTATTTTGGTGGACCAGTCTTTGTAGACTATCTTCAACTTGGGCTATCAAAATTGCGTCATCTACGCAACAGAGTATTTTTATTTTTTTGCTTCCCATTCTGTTCCTCTTCCTTTGTTATCGCTTTTGATGATTTCATTCATAATCATATTAAAGAGCATATGGCTAAATGAATCTCCTTGTCTTATTCCACTACCTATTTCTATAGGTTCTGTAAGTTGTCATTCTATTCTGAGTTCCAATTTGTTGTTTTGGTAGATGTTTTCGATGATTTTTATATTTATGATATAGAACTTCTCTATTATAGAGAAGATGGATTACATCTTTGAGTCTTACTCTGTCAAACGCTTTCTTTAGGTCAATCAGACACAAAAATGCTGGTCTATTATACTCTAGTAATTTCTTAGTAATTTGCTTTATAACGAATATTGCATCTGTACACGTTCTTCCACTACGAAAACCCTGTTGCTCATCTGCTAAACTTCTGATTTATTAACACTTGTAAAATTTTAGTTGTAAAATTTAGCGTAATATTTAACAAATTTATACCTCTGTAATTTTCTGGCTGTGTACTGGTATTCGCTAAAATACCAAAAGAACTTAATTATTTCCCTGTACTATATATTGTTAAATGACATAATTTTAAAAAACATATGAAAGTTGTTTGTCCTTTTTACATTACGTCCCAAATATGACAACAATTTAAAAATGACATGCAGCAGTATTTTTTATTTTCATTTACTGTACAAATCATTCATGACGTTCATTAGAAGATTACACTCTAAGAAAGAAATATTTTTGTTTTCATCATCATTTTTTCGTTTAGGTAAAAGCAACGGACAGTGGCTATCCACCACGATCAACCAGAGTGGAAGTCTTCAGTCAGATTCTCGACGAGAACGACAACAACCCTTCTTTTCTACCTGAACCATCAGCTCTAATCATCCCTGAAGACATTCACGTAGGAACAGAAATCGCTAGGGTCAAAGCTGTTGATGCAGACTCCGGGGAATATGGAAAGATAACTTACCTACTGGACAGATTGTCTTCCCAAGGAAAATTCACCCTAGACGGAGACACCGGTATATTGAAAGTGTCTGATAAGCTCGACAGGGAAGACAAGCCTAATTTTTTGTTAATCATAGAAGGCTGGGATAATTATCAGTATGGATTCAATAGTGGAGAGAGCAGAAACGCTTTTAAGCATATTAAGTAAGAATACTTTTAATAATGTAAGATACAAAAATAATTTATTCAACAATAATGTTTTTTTGATCTCAAGTATATTATTTTTGGTCCAGTTCGTTATTTGAGACCCTGGGTACAGAGAGTCGATCCTCTTCTATAGATTTGTCTATCGCTAAATATTTTACCTACAGCTGTTTTGTAAGTTTTCTCATTCCTGAACTATTTTACTCTTTGTATGGTCCATTTCTTATTATATTGTATAGTTTTTCTTGTTTTGTTAATTCGATCCAAGATTTGATTATGGATTCCACTGGTCGACAACTAAATGATCTTGAATTTTACAAAGTCCAGCAACTCTCAAGCTTATCCAGGTGACATATTATCCAGCTGTAACATAATATAACTGACAGTTATAATTGACTCTACACTTACAAAAAATCTCGGGAGCTTTATTGGATGATTTAAGAATAAATAGATATTTAGTTTAGAGATTAATATGCTATTAGACATCTATAAATTTCTTAATAGAAATATTTATTGTAGCAAGATTACTGCCCTTAACAAAATCAAATAAATCTTATATAGTAGACAGACTTGTTGTCCCCTAAACACCCCATACAGAAGTGGCCCTTTTCTCTTCAGAAAGTTACCAGCTTGAACACATGTTAACTTTCTAATCACATACTTGCCCATTAATCAATGAAACATATAAAAAATTCCTATCGCTGAACCTAGCAATTTTTAACCAAGTGTTACAACTAGAAGAGTTGTAACACTTGGTTAAAAATTGTTGTTACAATCATTTCTTTATCTTCTAGATCTTCTGGTATGTGTCATGTAAAAAAATATCCGGCATGAATAATCTCCTGAAATCTTCGCAGTGTTTAGGATGTGATATATTGGGAATTGAGACAAACGTTGATTTTAACTAATTTTCATCGGTATCAAACATTTTATTTTAACAAAAATGGTAAAATTTTTTATAGCTACATACTTTTTTTCATTGGATATCTAGATTGATTAGGGAAAAGTGATGTTCGGTTATTACGAACAAAAACTGTTCCGCAAGTTTGCCATACATTGTGTAATTCATGTTCAACTAAAATTATGTGTCTGGACTATTTTTTTTTAATTTTATAATTCTACAAGATAATCTACCAATGTTTTTACTTTGTAGTATAACAATTGAAGATGTAAATGACAATGTTCCTGTACTTCATGTTCCTCCGTACTGCATCAATATAACAGAATTTCACGAACCAGGTCAGCCTGTAACAACAATTCATGCATCAGACGCTGATGACCCAGAAACTTCCAATGGGCAGGTAGAGAAACATTTTTCTATAGTTTAATACCCAACTTATAAAAGAACATACTAACTAAAAACTACCGATTTTCAGGTCATCATCGACATAGCAGACGGTAACCAAGACAACCTTTTTGAACTACAACCAATAAACGAATGGTCTGTTGACATACGAACGACAACCTCTTTAAGAGGAAGACATGGAAACTATACTCTGATAATGAGAGCCCAGGATCTTGGAATACCTAGTCTACTGGTGGAAGACACACTGAGAATATGTGTAGCAGACTATAATGATCACCCGCCAATTTTCATCAGTCCTCCACCCAACTCCACATTGAAAGTGCCAGAGGTAAATTAATAAAGACACTAGAATAAGATTTGCAAAAATAGAGAAAAAATATATGTTATTTGTTATAGAATGCAACAGTAGGTAGTGCTTTGATTCAAATTCTAGCATCAGACGAGGATGTGGGACAGAATGGGGCAGTTCGTTATAGATTGAAAACGGATCCAGCGGGACACTGGAAATTTTTTGAATTACAACCAATTTCTGGCATACTGGAACTTCGATTGCCATTGGATAGAAAGAAACAGAAGATATATGACGTATGTTATTTTTGATATACATGAATTCTTTCCCCATAAAAATAACTCCAATTTTAATACTAAATAAGATATTTGCTATTCTGCATAAATATGCTTTTAAAGTTAAATGTAGAAGCATCAAATAATGCTATTTTTCGTTAAAATGACTTAAAATTTGAATTTGTAGATTCGAATCGAAGCTTATGACTTAGGTGTTCCAACGCCATTGAGTTCTGAGTTGGACCTTACTGTTTACGTGAGCGATATGAACAATTATCAACCTCAGTTTATGGTGGATGAATACTATGTGAATTTTACAGGTAAATCTATAAAACATTTATTATAATCAAATTGGTCATACAACTAGCACTGACTCTAAAGGAAATATTTAGTTGTCTCAGGGTATCGAAAGGATTGAGATCTGTGTTGAGATCTTTCTATATTATCGAGATTTATGCGAGTCGGTAGTTACTCTAGTTCGTCTTTTAAATTCATAAATGTCGTCGGGTTGTATTTTATAAACAACAGATTTAAGATATCCCCAAAAAATAAAGTCTAACGAATTTAACTTTGCTGCTCCCGGGGCCATTCAATTGTTCCCCTTCTGCAAATCTATTTATTCGCAAATCTCTCGTGTAAGCACTGCCAGACGGGAAGAGATTAATGAGATATAACACCGTTCTGCTGAAAATGTAAAAGATAGTCCTTTAGTTCCTAGAATTTCTAGCGCGACAGCTTTAAGAATGATAAGTTGAGACTGATTGTCAAGTTTTCTTCGATAAGTAAAGGCCCAACAGTCAAATTTCGAGAATACTAATCCATAGATTAACTTTTTCATGAGCTTTTTTTCATTATTATTGAAATGAAACAGATATTTAGCATAATATTAGCGATTGATTTGATTTGTTTCAAAGGTCCTCAACCAACCAACGGTTTTGCAGGCCTAAAAGCTCTTAACGGATCTGCATTTTATAGAGAATAAAACTTAGGCATGAGGCCTTTCCCAGGGTGTTCGACTGGATCTACATTGTTATCTTAGGATAATGCTAACTTAAGGAGCTATCACTTGGCTACCAAAAGTGTTACAGCAACAGCGATTAACAAACTAAACCATATTCAGCAGATGGCTTGCCTAAATCTAACAGGTGCAATGAAAACAACACGAACTGCTGCAATGGAGTTTCTCATTGGTATCACCGCTCTAGACATACAAGTCAAAGAAGTGATGAAGAGCTGGTGACAATGATGTGACTGCGCTCGGTGGGAGCAAACCTTGATGTAGGAATGAGACAATTGAGAACCCGTTTCTGGCGGGGATAGCTAGTTGCGTTACCCTTGCTCCAGATCACTGAACCTAAGAATAAAGTGGGATATGTGTAAAAATGCCAGGGTAGTTCAGACAGAACTGGTTGGTATCTCTATAGGCGTAAAAGAGATAATCCAAAAAGGTTAGGTGACAAGCCTAAGACTCTTAGGATCTGGGGATCTTTTTGTTTGGTCAACTACAATAATCGCGAAAATTGTCAAATGTCACTCCCATACGCAAACTGTGAAAAGATGGGAAGAAGAGTAAGGATGTAGAGTTGCCAAGGTAACACTAAGTAACCTTGACCAAGATGACCAGAATGATTAGGAAAAACCTACGCTTGACAGTTGGCTTTTTAACTGGTCATTGACAACTAAGCAAACATCTCCACATGAAGGAATCTAGTAGAAACATCTATGCAGGAAGTGTGAACGAGAAGATGAAACTGTAGAGCATGTTCTATGTGAATACCGGAGTTATCGTTAATACGGGAGTACGAATTTGGCGAGTCCTATCCTACACCTGCCCACATAAGGGAGTGACTTGTCTACCTTCCTAGAAATGGTAGGATGAACAATAAGCTAAGGACGAACTCACCCTCGGAGTATGCACAATGGATCAATTGTGGCCTAAGTGTTGTGTGAGTTAACTCGCTCTCCCTACTTTACAGATACAGATACAGAAAATTTATGCATTTTTAGTGATTTTTACAGGCTCTCACGAAATTTCTTTATTATGCCTCTGTTTGTATGGAGCTGATTCTGTATAAATGTTAAAAACCTCAATTTAAGTTTTGTTATTTCGTAATCGCTCGGTATTGCTTCTGTTATTTACCATCTAACCCGTTTCGGAGAACTATCCCACCCAATGTTTTAAGTATCTGTAACTTTCATCACGATATGCCTGTCTTTCATTTAAACGAAGTGCCAGCCTTCGTCTACACTTTTCTACCTCTTCTTAAAAAATATAATTTCAATTGTTTTTTTTTTATAGATTCTACATCATTTTTAAACTTTTGAGTATACACAATAACTGAGTCACTTAATAGCCTAACATCTAAAACTGAAATAACAATACATCGTTAAATGTTTCAAGTATTTTTTGTAAAAACGCTCGACAATAATAGAATATAATATTCTATAATGTTTTTGATAGTTTTAACAAAATTCGTTTCAACAAAATAAGTTTTATTTACATAATTTTAAAAATTATTAATTTTAGTGCAGGCAAATTCTAGTTATTTTTCTAACTTTCGAACGCGATTTTTTTTTTCAATTACTGAACAAAAAATTAACTAGGAAACTAAGTTCCTGTAGCTGGCTGTATACCATGTATCACAATTTTTTTTATTTCAAATCCTTTATAAAAGGTATATAATAAAATACCCAAACGAACTATATATCACAATTAAATTACAGAACGTTTTCGGAATGTAAATTCCATCATCAGTGTAACGAAGTATGGGTAAAAACCCGTTAAATGTTGTAAATTTAAAGTTTTGTTACATTATGTATTATTAAAAATAATAATACCGTTGGAATTGGTAACATGGTGACTTATGACTCTACATAGTTTATATGGTCCTGAGACAAAGTATCTTCGAGGACCTGTTGATAACAACTCAGTTGTTATCAACAGGTCCTCGAAGACATACTTCGTTACACTGATGATGGAATTTACATTCCGAAAACGTCCTGTATATAATTGTGATATAGCCCGTTTGAGTATTTTATTATATACCTTTTATAAAGGATTTAAAATAAAAAAATTTTTAAACAAAAAATATTAAATTATGATACAATTAGACGACCTTTAAAACATGTGTCACTTAACCCTTTTTCCTATTTAAAATTGCAAGGATAACATTTACCCTTGCTATGGTGTTAAATTTTTAGCGCTAAAACTATTCTCTGAAAGTCTTCCCTTCAAAACAGAATTGATCTGTCTTTCAGATTTTTCATATTATTTACAGGAATGAGGATATTAACTGTGGAAAGTTTCCAAATTGTCAACCTGTATATTTTCCTTATGATTTGTGATTATGATACCTCTCTCCACTATTCGTTACTACTAGAAATGTATTTGCTTTTGTAGAAAATGTTGGACCAGAGATGGAAATTAAGAAATTACCCGATACAATAGACAGAGACGAGTTCGAGTACGAAGGTCCTTCTGGGCCAGTTTGCTATTATATAATCGGAGGTAACGAGAACAACCTTTTCCATGTCAATCCCATAGATCATACACTGATGGTAAGCTAGAAAAACAACAACAAATAACAAAGTTTTGCATAAACATTTATTTATTCATATTCTTTTTAGATCACTGCCCCTTTAGATAGAGAATACCAGGACATTTATATCCTTCTAATAAAGGCCACAGAGGACTGCACTAGAACCCCAAAAAATCAGAGCTTCTTCGACTCAGATGATGACACCCAACTTAAAGTGATCGTCCGTGTATTGGATGTCAATGACAATGCACCCAAATTTATACATAGAGTGTTTACTGGAGGTGTCAGTACTGCCACAAGCTTTGGAACTAAATTTATGTAAGTATAAATAACGATATCTTTAGTAATATTCTCTTAGATCTCTTATCGATTTATCTATTCCTTGATACAAATTGTTGCTGGCAGATTCTGTTTTTATTTTTGTTGGTTTCGACTTGTGTATTCGTTCTTGAACTTTTGTGTTAATGTCATATCATACGAGTTGTTTCTGACATGTCTCTTTAATTCTAGTTCTTTCTCTTCAACCATCTCATATTTTTATTTCTAATAGGTTCTATAGAAAATGTCACACCGAGAGTGCAGTACGGCTAATATAGGAATGCACAATTGCCGGATTTCACGCCTTGTGCTTGGCGATACAAACAGGTCCAAGTGGTAGTCACAGAACCGTACCCAGATCTCTACGCCGGGCTCTGTTATATATTATAAAATAATATATTGATAAAATAATTGCCTTCAAGTAGCCAAATAAGAGGCATGAATTTGAATAAAAAAACCTTAAGTTTTTAGCGAGAATTTTATTATAAAACTGTATACTTTATTAAACTAACAAATGTATTTTAAATTACATTTCTTGATAGCTATAAATATACCGGGTGGAACCTCCGGTAACTTGATTTCCGTGCACCCAGTCCAATATCCAAGAAAAACTTTTTCTGTTGCAAATATGTGAAAAATTATTACGAAAACCTTTGAGAAAGATCACACTGTTTGTATCGTTCGCCATTCGTAATTTATAGATTGGCCAACATTAACCCACGATTCGTCCAAATATATGATATTGCAATGGTCTTTTCGCAAACGTCGTATAGTTCTCAAATAATTATGGCGCCAATGAATAATATCCTCTCGCTCCACCATGATGCGTCTTCGGCCACGTTTCTTATAAACAAATCTAATATCTTTCAGAAGTCTGTATAAAGTAGAAAGAGACAACGCTGTATATTCTCATTACCTTGTATGAAGTTATGTACCTATATGCTTTAAGAATGGCGGCAAATGTTTCATGAAAAATTCACAATGAACAATTCTCCGTAGAATACTTCTTACACCCTCGTCATATGTGAATATTCTAGAATTTGATTGACACACTCGTTTTTTACGTTTTTACGTTTTTTTTTTGGCGGATTTCAACGTTCCACTCTGTTCTTTTTCTTTTTTGAAATTGTAAATGCTTCTTTCGCTAACACCAGTCATCAACTAAGTACGTCTTACAGCAGCACTTACATTAAGTTGTTCCGTAGTTTCGTTTTCCAAAAGCACTTTCACCCCTACCCATCCTTAGGAGGGGTAGGGGGTGAAATATAGAAAGCTTGGAGTTTATCAAATACTAATTATGACAAACAAGTTTATGGCCATATTTAGGTGATTATGTTAATGATGGTAATTTGTAGCAGAAGTTTTACAAAAGAAATGAAGACCTATTTATAGAAACAACATAACTGTATTTTTAATGTTTTACATACAATAGAAAAAATCTTATTTCTATGAAAGAATTGGAAATTTGAATATTATATATAATATCTATAAATAATATTCATTTCCAAGTTTCCAAATTCTTTCCTAGAAATTATGTAGGTTTTTTCTATTTTATGTAAAACATTAAAACTACAGTTATTGTATGTTGTTCTTGTAAAGAGGTGTTCAAATGTTACTCTTATGAATATTATTCAATTGTATATCTCGTGTTGACGTTTTATATGCAAAATTCATAGTTTTCGTTGTCAATAACTCATCAATGCCTTTTTATTCTACTGTATACGTATACATGATATAAAATATTTTACTCGTACTGCCGGCAGATGCATTTTATCCAAGCCGGTCCTGTGAGACAGTGAGCAATCAACAGCTGGAGAAAACCGACAATCCTGCGCGTTTATTCTCCATAAGAAAAGCATTGCCGTATCTTACCCGTACTGCACTCTCAGTGTGACATTTTCTATAGATGTTATGTTTGCATTAATCTCCTAAGAATATCCGTTTTTTTATGTCGTTTTTTGCAAAATATTGCATATCAAGAAACCCGCGATGAAACTCAGTAAGAACAGAAAAAAGGTGCAGTGAGCAAGTATGAGCATCAGCCAGAACAGGTTTAACCACCTGTTGAATGAACGTCTAGACACAAGTGAAGCTCGACAGCAAATGGCTTATCTAAGGTTATACACAAAAGGTATATACCTAGTATGTAGGGTATTTTGGAGAAGCTTGCAGAGTACCATTAAATAGGTATAATAAATGAGAGAGGATAAACACATTTTCACATGCAATACAGAAAGACAATCATTTTATTACTTCTTCAAAATGTCAAGATAGCCAACCTGATTTACATACTGTTTGTGGACCAGGATAGGCAACATTTCAATAGGGTATAAACAAAAGCAGAAGCAGTATGAAAGGTCTACAAAACCAAATGACCTATTTATCTACAAAAGATAAGTTATTTCTTCCATTTAATTTAAACTAGATTTCTGGTCACTATTATATTGTATTATATATTCTAGGTATGTACTAGCAGAAGATTTAGACGAAGGTAAAAACGCCCTAATTACTTACTACTTGGTGGGAAAGACGCAAATGACTTTGACTGAAGGACTGGACAATTTGGAAAGACCTCCGTTTTTGGTAGAAAAAGAAACTGGAGCCGTTCAATTGAACTTTGATCCTCAAAGGGGAATGAAAGGATATTTCGATTTCATGGTAAGACGAATATATTTTTCTTTCACTTTATTTCTCTTCACCATACATTTTCTACCTAGAATATTTAGTACCACATTGAATATATTATGATTTTTATGTAAGGTTCTTGCAAATGATACTGGAGGTCTCATTGATACCGCGCGTGTTTTCATTTATCTACTCAGAGAAGATCAGAGAGTACGTTTTGTCCTACGTCAACATCCTCCAGAATTAAGGAACAGGATAGAAATGTTCAGGAGTAAGTATTATTGAAATAACATCATTGGCACGTTTATAAAAGCTTTTGGAATGCAAAAGTTCTTATAAAAGTAATCCATTTTAAATAGATAACTCAAATGTTATAAACATACTATAAATATTATCTCTTTTAGAATGTTAGGTAACGTTACTGGAGCTATAGTCAACGTAGACGAATTCAGAGTTCACGCCAACCAAGATGGCACCATCGACAAAACCAGAACGGACCTATACCTCCATCTAGTAGACAAAAAGGACAACTCAATACTCGAAGTAGACGAAGTCTTGAAATTAGTAGATCAAAACACAGAAAAACTCGACCATCTCTTCAAAGATTTCAATGTCCTGGATACTCAACCTGGTGGAACATTAGCTCTAAAGTCACAGCTGCAGAGCGCGGGTACTACATTCTGGCTGTCTGTCTCCTGTTTGTTTCTGGTGCTTCTCTTGATGCTATGTTTGGCTTTATGTATTAACCAGAGACAAATGTACCATAGGAAATTAAAAGCAGCCACAGCAACTGCTTATGGTAAGTACAGTGGAAATCAAATTTTGCAAAAAGAAATCATTATCATCAATCCTGTTACATTGTTGTTTCGTTTTGTGCTACTATTTCCTATTGTCTCATTTCCCTTTTTTCCAGATACTCTTTGATTATACCTTTCCATACGTTGTCATCGTCTGTTTTGATAATCCGTCCTATTTCGAAACAATATTATCTGTTTCATAGTAGTGTCCTTTTTCATATAAATACCAGTCCATAGAAGCCTCTTTTCGGACGATTTCTCCCTACCTCGTTAGCATTGACCCTGGCTTGAACTGAGAGTTTGTTACTGAATATTTGGTAGAGATACTCAAGTTTCCGGGGTTCACCCGTGTTGCTCCGGCCAGACTTCGTAGAGCTAAAGATGAAGATTGAGTATTAAAGGCTAAGGATGCTTGAAAACAGCATCTTTTAATGCGCATCACTCTTTCTTTGACTCTCAAAAATAAATACAGATAAAATGTAACAACAATAAAATCGTTTAAAGGACAAAATATATTAACATACAAACAAAAACATATAAAAACTAAAATATTTTGCTCCCTATCTCTTGTTCCCATTTTAATAAAATGAATGTTTTAAGAGAATTCATTATATTTTTAGTTAGCGCAGACAACGATATTGATGGACGTGGATTGGGTGGTATTCTCAGTGGACGAGTACCAAACACTAACAAGCATAGTCTGGAAGGTAGCAATCCAATCTGGTTAAAGGCTTACGAAAATGAATGGTTCAAGAATATGGACGACATCAGGTGAGTATTTTATCAGATAAGTGTTTTCTATTGAACAACGGCAATCAAAATCGTATTAACAATTAATATGAAACCGACTTGAAAAAATGACTATTTTTATTGTACTGAAGTTAATTCTAATATCAGCAGGTGATGCAATAAAATTTCAATACACGTAATAGTCCAGTCTTCAGAGATGAAAATGTAAGTGAACCTCTAAAATTCATACGAACAAGCTGAATTTTGTTGACAATGTGAATTTTTGGACCCCAAAAAAGGTGCAACAAGTTTGCCAAATCTACCCTGGGATTCCCATAACCCTCTTGGGGGAAAATGGAAAAATTTGATTTACCAAGAATCTATGCGTCTATATGTTCAAACAAGAAATGCAGCTGAGATAATTTTGAACAATAATATTCATTGGCACTTTTTCTGTAGAATGAACCTTTCTCTCAGAAACAAATCTCAACGGTAAAACTCAACATGTATTAAGTCAACAGTAAAAATTGGATACCTTTTGATAAGAGTATCCTATCAACAAAAATCATCCACAAAAAGTGGAGCTTCCGTATGCAATTTGTGGATTTTGTCGCAAATGAAATCAGTTTCTATAAAGCTGTTAAATAAATAAATAAACGTTGCGTCATTTTTGCAATTTTTTTGCGATTCTCACGAGATCAATTAAATTTACACTTCCATTTACCATCGTTGTGAAATTTCCATCGTTAGAGTCTAATTTTTAAAACTCTGTAACATGAAATTTCGATTTTGAGTTTTGGCAACAAATATGAGGCTGCATAAAATTCGTTTCATATTGGGATTTTTTTTTAATCCTCTTTTTTAGGTGAATGAAAATAATATTGTCAAAAAAGTATAGGTTTTAAAATAACGAGATCGTTATTTAAACATGGAAAAAGTGTCACACTTTTTATCCATAATAATTGTAAATAATTTTAACTTTAATTTTGGATAGCTCCCACTCTGACGTCGCGTCGTTCAGGTCGAGAACGGCTACTTCGATCGTGACGTATGAAGTGTCATATGACAGTTTTTAAAAAATAAAATTCGATGACAAGGAAAAATTAAATATAGCGGCATAAATAAGGGGCTTTAGACATATATCTTTGGTAATATTGGGCCATATCGTGACGTGTGAGGTGTCATATAACAGAATTTAGCGAATCGAATACGATGACAAAGAAAAATCAAAGTTTAACTTCATCATCTTTGGCTCTAAAACCCTGGGTAGGTCTTGGCCTGTTCAAGAATTATTCTCCATTCCCCCTATCTTTCGCCCTGACTTTCCAATTTTTGACCCCTAGATTCCTCAAGTCATCTTCGACTTGTGTTTTAAATCTAGATCTTGGCCTGCCTCTCTTTCTGGTTCCTACTGGCTCTTGATATAATATCTGTCTTTGGGGGTCTCCAGTGTCCATTCTTTCAAGGTGTCCTAGCCACCTTAGTCTATTAATTTTAATAGACCGGACGATGTTGCATTTTTCATAGCATTGATACAACTCAAAATTGTAGCGCCTGCGCCATATCCCGCTTTCTTGTACTCCTCCGAATATGTGTATAAGTATTCGTCTTTCAAAGCGGCCTAACAGTTCTTCTTCGCTTTTTACCATAGTCCATGTCTCTGGCGCGATTGTCAGGACAGGTTTAATAAGAGTTTCATATATTAGTATCTTGGTTTTTCTGCTAATGTATATGCTCTTAATTTCTACGCTTACTAGACTGCTGATATTTAGTTGTGTTCCAAGATATATAAACTCAAATATACTCCATTCCACGAATATACGACTGTTTTAAATTCGCTTTAAGGTGTCGACTTAAATGGTCCAATGTGCTGACTTGTACAATGGTAAATTCTCCCTATTTTTAAAATACTGTTATGACAGATATACACCTTAGATTTAAATATGAAGTTATGATCTAAATATAGAATTGATAGTTTATAGAATAGTTGTAATTTAGATTTTGAAGTATACTCGTATAATTACTCTAATTGACTTTAGTATTGTACACAAGTTGGTTTTTGAATTAAGTGATTTACACGAAGTGTAACAATACTTAAGTGATTAAATAGTTTAATTTATTTAGTCGAATATTCAATACGTATTAAAAAAACAAAAAAACTTACTCTTACTATTATTCTCCTAATCATCATTACAAACAAATACACTACACTAAACTCGATTTATGAAACTGTATGTAAATTTTCGTTAATTTTTAATATCTGTAATGACTCGGTACTTTAACTATCAATAGCCGCCATGTTATACCCGTTACTTTCGGAACTTTTAAGAGTATATCCACTCAAAGCAAACAAAAAACTAACAAAGTGGAATACTATAATCTATATTATAGATTCTTTTTCTGGTTTTTGAACCATCGTTCTGCCAATTTCTTTTTATTTATATTAAAAATAATATATTTCTTTTTATTACCGTTGTAGTACCTAAAGTAATAAAGTAATAAAGATACCCGGCGCGCCTCTTTGGTGTTTACATTTCACCGAAATCCAACTCAAATGGCTGATGAACACATTTTAACTTCATAGAGGTCATTCTATTTATTTGTAGGAGCGTTTACGTAATTTTTTTTGTTATTTTCGGATTAATTTTCACAATAAATTTTGCGTCTATCTGAACATCTACTAACTGAAATAATTTTAGTTTATATGTCATAGTAACAGAAGATCCTTTTTTATGGAATAATAATTAGACCAATTTACTTTTATACTTCTACTTGTACAGTAAAATATTCATTGTAGCAATAATTCCAAACAGTCGTATATTCGTGGAATAACCTATACCCCTTTGACTGTGTGTACTTCTGTCACCAGATCTTGTGGTGCCGCTATTTGTGTGCTGTTCGTGACCTTCATGTATTTTGTTTTGGATACGTTAACCTGCAGTCCCATTGTCTTCGCGGCTTTTTCTAATGTTTCAAAAGCCTGTATCAGGTCTTGTTTTGTCCGTGTTATTATGTCAATGTCATCTGCGTAGGCCAATATCTGTACACTTCTATTGATGATCGTACCTCTGGTTGTTTATGCCCGATTTCTCTATGGCTCTTTCTAGCGCGATGTTAAACAATAGACACGATAGACTGTCTCCCTGCCGTAATCCAGTATGTGTTTTAAAAGACCTTGACACTGTTTTGTACCTTCACTATTCACTCAACTTTCGAAAGAGTTGCCTTTACCAATGTTATTAGAGGCGACGGAATATCTAGTTCTTCCATGGCATTATAAAGTGCGCTTCTGTCTACAGTGTCATAAACACTTTTAAACTCTATGAAGAGGTGATGGTTATCAATTCTATATTCATATGTCTTTTTTAAGGTTTGTCTGAGAAGGAAAATCTGATCAATTGTTGACCTTTCTCTTTCTCAGGGGATATACCATCTTCTATATGGGATTTGTTGTTTTTTAACCTTTTTATTGCCTTGGCAACTTCTTCTTTAAAGTTTAACTTACTTTTTTGAAATTGCAATAAACACAAGCTTTTTTTATATCTAATTTAAACCTTTCCATATTTAATTTAAACCTTTTTTTATTTATTTATTGCAATTTATAATGTATTCAATAAAAATATAGAATAGTTAGTAAATATATACTAACTATATAAATATATACGCGGATGGGTTTGACTCAGATACCATCCATCAATGGTTCGCTGTAAACATCGTAGATTTTCTGGCCATAAACTTTTAAATCTTCTTTCGATTGGTTAATTGATAAGTTTTCAAGAGCAAAATTGATCAGATTGGTTTTAGTATGGTAGTTATTTTATTTGTTTAATTAGTCAGTTCATGCTTTTAATTTTAAGCTCAATTAAGCAGTTTTGTTATTGCACATACTTGGTTACGGTCTCTTCCATATTGCAATTGAATTATTGATATAATGATTGGAGTGTGATCTGATTGTAGATTTGGTTTAAATCTTAATGTGAATCTAATATAGAATTTGTAAAGCCAAAAAATTTATCTCTGCTAAAAATGGCTTAGGGGAACTTTTTTTAAATACGTGAAAAATTATCGGAAACACGGATACGAAAAGAGTACTGCAAACTATTTATAAAGTCATTAAAAACAAGTTTTAAAGACACTATTATGTACATATATGTAGGTCAGAAAATCTAAAACTATACTCTTTAACATATTGCAATTTATTTTAACATATTTCACACACCACTGATATATTATTTCTTTCCAGCCAATCAGAGCATGATTCCTTGGACGAAAACGTCATCAGCTACGAAGATTCGCTACCAACGACAGATCAAACGCAAGAGACCCAAGAACGACACCAGAACATATACCAAACACTTCCGGTACCTGCTGTGAGGAAATTGGAGACTACGGAGTTATGATTTAAGATGAAGATTAACAGGGTTTCCCCTCTATCCGATATCTCAGAAGAATCACTTTAATTGGAGAGATTAGAAGATTTTAAAATATTATATATATATATATATATATATATATATATATATATATATATATATATATATATATATATATATATATATATATTTAAATCATGATTGTAAATATGGAGAATTTTTCTACATTGAAAAAATAATGGATGTAATTGGGAATTTAGTATATAATATAACTGTCTTATGTAGATTTTTGTAAAGATTGTTTGACTGATTGTACTGCTCTATTCTTTTTCATCGCCTTTTGCTAGTTGTTGTTTTGGTTCTTAACCTTTTCGATCTGGCTAGTATTTTTTTACTGTAAAATGGCTTTGGCATGGCCAATTAGCCACTGGCTAGTGTTTACAGCTGTTTTTTCTAGTGTGGCTGTTATCCTGTATATAAAAATGCGTGCCTCACAAAAAGTGCTAATTTTAATTAATAATCTTATTAACCTTTCAGTGCTAACGTTAATTATTTTGACATAAGTGCTAACGTCCGTCTCTGGGACGGTATATTTATATATGCCCTAGAACTGTAAATTTTACAAATTTTTAAAATTTAATTACTTCAAGGGTTTTATTAAATCCCTTTTTATTTAAAATAAACACAGCTTCATTTAAAAATTAAATTTATAAACATTTATTTTGACAAAAATAATTCCTTAACAAACACAAGAAACTATTCTAAAAAGTGAGAAAAAAACCCAAAAATCTTATTATAGACACAAAATTTGCTGAGTTGTCCGAAAAGAATTACACTTGTATATTGTAAATGAATTTATGGCGGCGATATTTAATATTGTTTAAAATATCACCATGGACCAGCGATTAGTCGATCTTTCACAATTGTTGCTTTCACATATCTTATCCATAGTGTCCACTCCTCCTTTGGTTGCGTTGTAATTGATTATTAGAGCAGTTCTGACCTATTTGTTCGAAGAGTTCGAAGAGAAAAAAAATATCAAGAATAACATTTCTATTTGTACCCTTCGCGTCATAAAAAACTAGTACAACTCTTATAACCGAAAATCGTGTTTTTCAAGTTGTGTAAGTTGAGCTTGTCACATGTGTCATTCTAATTTCGAAGACAACGTTGCCACTTCAACGAAAATATTATATCAAACCAGCTAAAAGCAGGACTATGCGACAGGTCGCAATTGTTAGTATACTAAAAACTAAAACAATATCGAGCATTCTCGATCAGTCAGTCACATTTATATTTATACATTTATTTAAACATACATCTTAAAAAATTCTATTAATTTTGAAATTTTCCATTATCTCAGTACCCATACATTGATTCGTGTTTTACTATAATTTATGAAAATATTTTAATTAAAAAATAATGATAAATAATAAATCTAGACATGACTTTAAATTATTATGTTTAATTTCGAATCTAGAGGTGTGATTGGTTTCTCGTAAAGTGTAGCACAAAACTGTATTGAGTTGTGGAATACTACAGTCAATAAAACTCACTGGAAAAATTTAAAGTTTAATTTGAAATTTTTAAATAATGAATAATTTTTACAGTGAACAAGTGTGGAATTTAAATATATGTATTGCAATTCGAAAAGTTAATATTTTGCCATAGCTCCATTATTATTAATCATTTCTTGTAATCTTCTGGGAACTGAGTTAATTAAATTTAGTGAGAAATTTTCATCTTCGGCCAAGCTTTCCCAGGTTTCTTCAATGATGGTCCATAAATGATCTCTGTTTTGTGGAACTACATTTAATTTTTGTATTTTGTTGTTCAGAAGTCCACAAACGTTCTCTATTGGATTAATATCTGGACTTTTAGAGGGCTATGAAAGAGCTTCAATGCTATTTTCCATAAGGTTATCCCGTACACGGTGGGCTGTGTGGAATGAACAGTTGTCATGCTGTAAAATAAAATTATTGTTGGGGAAAATTTCCCTAACTGATGGCAACATCACAGAATCGTCCTTCAATTCTCCAACACATTTCTAAACCTCCTCTATACATTAAAGCCCAAACATTTATAGAGAACCGTCCGGACTTATCACTTGATGAAATATAGTTTTATTTAAACCTATTTCGATGCGGCCTATAAACCCTAATATGGCCATCATAATGAGACTGGAATACTTTTTCATCAGTAAAAATTACACGGTCCCAAATACTGAGTGGATCATTTAAAACGTAATTTAAAGCAAATAGGAGTCTACTTTGTTTATGTTCCTCGCTAAATTTATATTTTTGGGCGGCTGCACAATTTTTTAAATATGTTCTTCTAATTCTTCTTAATGCTGTAGTTATAGAAGCATTAAAGTTTGTATTACCTTTTGCTTGCCTTGCCGTATGGAAGGTATACGCTCTTAAATAATTAGTTAATGTTTCATCTTGTTGGGCTGTAGTAATAACTGGTCTTCCACTCCCTCTCTTTCTGCTCGTTTTCCCATCTATTTTTAATGTTGTGGATTGTGGTTTTGCTTATATTTAACTCTTGAGCCAGTTTTCGAATAGACCACCTATTTTTATTGGTCGAGTAGGCATTTCTATTTTTGAAATTATTCTCGTTTTATCAAACTGACTTAACTGACGTGGCATCTTTAAAAATTCACTTTGACAAACTTGTCAAATCTGATGGCAAGCAATATTTTTTATGTTTAATTTTTATGTTTAATCGTTCGGATATGTTCGGGAAGTTTTCACGCACTGATAACATCTGTAGATACTAAACCAACATTTTTCAGTTATAAGAGGATTGATTCTTTAAGACAGACGATGATATCTTACTCCGCTTAATTTCCTGTTACTAAACTTATTGAAAACGGCGTATCTAGGTCACATCATGCGAACTGAAAAATACCAGTTCCTCCAACTTATAATCGAGGGTAAAATTGAAGGCAAGAGAGGAATGGGACGCAAGAAAATGTCCTGGCTCCGAAACATAAGGCAATGGACAGGGATTAACCGTTTCAATACGTTTCAATGTACCCCTACCATGGTCACGCACGGAGCGAATATGTGATGGCAACAACGAATTGATTTACGAACCATTGTGTTCAGTCTGAACACAGGTTTACATTGGGAAAAAAGTGTACTAGTTTTATATGACGGGAAGTGTACCTCAGATATGTCTGCACAAACGTATTACTAAATCCAAAGTGTTTGTGATTTGCTGGTAGTATCCCTGTGGTTGCTGATCAACATAAATATCTAAATTTGAGGTATAAGCTAATTTAGCATCAGTCAAGGCATATATTTTTATACGCTCTAAAGGCTTCTAATTTTTTTTCATCAGCTGGACAATAGTGTGCCATGATGTAGTGTTTTGGGAAATTGGTGTTTCTTCAAAAAAGTTTCCAATAGAAGCCAATTTATCTGTTTTTTGTCTCTCTGCACGAGTTTGTTCATTATCAAAGCGAATAAAGGCCAATAAAAGTTTGAATCGCTTGTATAACATTGTAAGGCGAAATATTTCTAAGGAAGTACCGTTTTTTCTAAACAAGTCGCAAGAATTGAGATGGACATTCTTGAACTTTTTTGCTATGTACAACAGGGCTATGAGTCCTTTTATCTCCAGAATATCCATCATTCTGTAGTTTCTATTCAGATGATCAGCATGTAGGTCAATATTTATGTTTGTATTTATTACAATAAGTGCCTACATCTGGTCTGTTATAAAACAGCTCCAAATATCACTAAAGATTAATTTCTCCCTAACATCCCCCTTTACACCTGGTAAATGCCTCATTAAATTGTCTGCTCTGGTACGCACTTACTTATTACCAAGATGCTTTCAGCACTTATTTTTTTATCCTTACCCAAAAAAAAATAGGAATTCACCGGCAAATATTTTCTGCTTCTAATATATCCTGTTCACTATCTGTATCAAGATTTTGTATTTCAACTCCATCTTTACTATCAACTTCCTCTAGAAGTATCTGCAAATATTTTTCCTCCTCCTGGTAGTTCACTTCTATTTCTAAAAAGCAAAAAAATAATATTTGAATCACTAAAAATACAACGCTAAAAGTTACAATCCTTACCTTTAGTACAGCTGCAAAAGCTAACAGCCATATCTGAGACCGAAATCTTGTGTAACGAACGAACTATGTACCTATCTATGTCCAACAATATTTAACACTAACAACGGTTAGGTAAAATATATGAAGCTATTGAATGACCTAGCCCGAATATCGGAACAAATCGTTAAATATGGGTATAAATAGGTTAGCTCCGTCTATGAGACTATGCGTTAGCACTGAAAGGTTTTAATGAGACACAGAATGCTTGAAAAATTCCCGCGTATTTATCAGGTTCACATAGACAAACTCATAGACATATAATAAAAATAAACTTAGCGTTATACAGTCGTGTTCCCCCAATGCGACAGAGAAAACTGACCTAAAGGAGTTCCTGCATATTTCTAATTTGCCAGGTTTATCGACCAGTATTGAATACTAAAGACACCAGATTTTACAGACAAAAAATTAAGAATTTTGACAAAGAAATTCAATTGATATAAATTATTACACCATTTGTAATTGTTTGTTGTCTCTGGCAGTAAAACTGAGAATTCGACAGGTGTAGTTAAGTCAGTCGTTGAATTTAAAGCTGTGAACGATACGATAGTTTTCCTTAAACTAGAAGGTAGGAAGTTTATGCACCATCGAGCACCTCAGTCGACATAAAAATCGAAGAATTCTATGAAAAACTGCAAACAACAATCAAGATCATCCCAAAATAAGGAGCTAATTTTAATATGTGGTGATTTTAACAAGCAAAAGTCAGCAACGCTACTCAGAATGACAACCTAAAGAATGCACTGCAAAAATTAGATGTAGCATGGGTCAAAGAAACGAAAAAGGGGGCCGCTTAATTGAGTTAGCTACCACAATGAATTATTCTGCCACGACCACTCGATTAAAACATCATGTACACCGACTCTACACTTGGAAAAGTCCTGGAGATAAGTCTAGAAACCAAATGGATTACATCCTGCGAATATCAATATTAATCGATTAATATTCGCAGGAAATCGTCAATCCAAATAGGCAGATCAAGGGCGATATGCCACTCAAATGATATTCTCGTAACTAAAATAAAGAGATAAAGAAGATATACAGGGTGGTGAATTATCAAACGAGCCATAGGAACTTAATGGGAAATTCTAAATTTTTGAATTCCTGTTCCCTAATTATTTTACATCAAAAGGTATAAGAAACTAGTTGCA